CTGGAGCCTGCTTTGGATTCTGTGTCACCCTCCTTCTCTACCCCTCCCCTGCTCAGGCTCTGTCTCTCTCTCTCTCAAAAATAAAATAAACATAAATAAATAAAATAAAATAAATAAAAAATAAAAAACGACCGAAGGTGAAGACATTGGGCACTTTGGGGCCAAGCAATGTGGGCGTCACACTCAGTAAAGCAGCTTACCAAGGAGACGGAGCCCTTGCTGAACCCGGTGACCATCTTCCCCTGCTTCTGGAGCGAGACCCCACAGGTAGGCGTTTCTTCCTTGATGCTGGATAAATGTTGCCTCCCCTGCGGCTTTCCTGTGGCTGAGCTCCACAGGCCGGCCACGCCACCCTGGGACACGGTCAGCAGCGTGGCCCGGGAAGCCAGCACTCCTGCATACACCCAGCAGTCAGAGGGATCTCCCAGGATCTGGAAAACCAGTTCTGCAGTTTCTAGATGCCACGCACTGACCTAATGGAGTCGTGAAAAGGAAGAGAAATCTCTGTGAGAGACCTGGGTGGCGGGTTTTCCAGGGGCAAACGCAAAACCCGTGCTTTTTCATAGTGCGTGCATTTCCTTTTCAGCGTTGGCAGTTCCAAACAAGGCAGGCGGGAGACACATCCTGGATTAGAGCCTAGAACAGCAAAAGGACATTGGTGGAAAACTTGATGCAATCCCAGTGAAGTCTGCGTTGGGCTGATAGAAATGACCAATATTAATGTCTTAGCTGTGGCGAATGTACCCTGGTTATGTAAGATGTTGACATTACAGGAGACTGAACAGAAGGGCATATGGGAACTCTTTCTAATAGCTCTATCACTTTTCCACGAACCTAAAATTTCCCCAAAGTGACAGCCTCAAGAATGAGAGCAAAGTTAGCCACGCCGTGTACATTCACATATATGTTCACCTCAAGTAATTACTGATCAGAGCAGATTTCATATTTAACCTCACCAGAAAAAGTACCTTTTTTAATTGACAGTAACCATTTAAATAGTAAACATTTGCCCATTAATTCTCCTTTTGGGGTTTACTCTAAAAAAAATTTTTTTTAATGTTTATTTATTCTCGAGAGAGTGCGAGCAGGGGAGGGGCAGAGAGGGAGACACAGAATTGGAAGCACACAAAATTGGAGACACAAAATTGGACAGCTCCAGGCTCTGAGCTGTCAGCACAGAGCCCAACGCGGGGCTGGAATTCACGAACCGTGAGATCATGACCTGAGCCGAAGTCAGATGCTTAACCGACTGAGCCACCCAGGCACCCCTGGGGTTTACTCTAAAGAAATATGGAGAGATACAAAGATCTATGTAGAAGGAAAGTTGCCTCAATTATTTGAAAGTGCAAGGAACTGGAAACAACTTATCTGTCCAGCAGTAAGGGATCAGGTACATAACTACCATGGAGTCATGCAAGGCAATCTTAGGAAGTCACTAAGCATGCTGTTTTTGAAGAATGCTTAAGGTCATGGACAAATAAAATAGATTTCTAAAACTGCATCTATAGCTTCATATATGTTTTTGTCCCCATTTTGTGTTATACATACATGCACATGTGTATGTGTATGAAACCCACATAAAATAAAACCCTGTAAAATGTTAACAGCATTTGTCTTAGGGATTGTTTATTATCATTTCTTACTTCTTTACTGTATTTTCCTGACTTCTGCTGATAACCAAATGATTTCTTTAACCAGTTTTGCAATCAATCAACACCTCTCTAATATTGAAGCCTGCACCGTCAGTAAAAATACAAGGCAAGCTGCATGTGACTTTAAATTTTTTATCAATCACTTTAGAAAAAGTAAGAAGGGTGCCTGTGTGGCTCAGTCTCGGGTCATGATCTCACAGTTCGTGAGTTTGAGCCCCACATCCGGCTCTCTGCTGACAGCGGGGAGCCTGCTTCAGATCCTCTGTCTTCCTCTCTCTGCCCTCCCCGACTTGTGCGCCCGGGCGACTGCTTGCTCTCTCTCTCTCTCTCTCTCTCTCTCAAAAATAAAATAAACATTAAAAAAAAAGTAAGAAAAACAAGGGAGAGCAATTTAAATAATACATTTTACTTAACCCATATGTCCAAATGTTATCATTTCAACATGTAATCAATATAAAATTATCATTGAAATATGTTACCTCATTTTTATGATACTAGGGCTTTGAAATCCAGTGTGTTTTAAACTTAGGGCACATCTCAATCCAGAATAAGCACATTTCAAGTGTTCAGTAACCACGTCTGGGTGGTGATGCCCCACACTGGACAGCATAGTTTATAAGCTACCGATATTACTTACATGAACAACTTCCATTTACTAATAAAATATAATAATTAACAGCTACTAATTATTTGGTGCTTACTATGCACCAAGCACTATGCCACATGTTTTAGTCATTATCTCATCTAGTAGATGAAGCAGAGCGGTAAGGTAATGTATCAAGATCACTCAGCTTGCAAAGAAGTCACCTGGGAATTAGCTAGAGATTTTTTCCCAAGCCTTTAGTTACTAAGCTTTCACTCACTATTCTTCTGTGTCTCTATTCATAAAACAATCAGATCATAGGGTTATAGGTGATATAAAAGAATAACACAGCAGAATACACATTGTTTTCAGTTGCAGGTGGGACATTTACCAGAAAAAGATCATAAAATGAATCTCAAATGAAAGGATTCATCATACAAATGAAATTAAATTAGGGAGAAAAAAAAGGTAAGCTATCTGGGAATCTTTCAAATATCTGGAAATGAATAGCATACTTTTTTTTTTTTTTTATAATTGTTTTAACGTTGGGGTGCCTGGGTGGCTCAGTCAGTTGGGTGTCCGACTTTGGCTCAGGTCATGATCTCCTGATTCATGGGTTTGAGCCCTGCATCGGGCTCTGTGCTGACGGCCCAGAGTCTGGAGCCTGCTGCGGATTCTGTGTCTCCCTCTCTGCCCTCCCTGATTGTGCTTTTTCTCTCTCTCTCTCTCGAAAATAATTAAACATTAAAAACAAATTTAAAAACAAATTTTTTTAATGTTTATTCATTCTTGAGAGATAGAGAGCATGAGCTGGGGAGGAGCAGAGAGAGAGAGAGAGAGGGAGACACAGAATCCGAAGCAGGCTCCAGGTTCTGAACTGTCAGCATAGACCCTGATGCAGGGCTCAGACCCACAAACTGTGAGATCATGACCTGAGCCTAAGCCAGACGCTTAACCGAATGAGCCACCCGGGAGCCCCAAATACCACACTTCTAAATAGCCCATGGAATAAAGAACAAATCAAAAGGGAAGTCCAAATGTATTTTAAACTGAATGCAAATGGTAATATGATGTATCAAGATTTGTGGGATTCAAGTAAAGCTGTACTCAGAGGGAAATTCATAGTACTAAAAATGACCAAGTTAAAAAAGATGAAAGGTCTCAATTCTTCAGGGTCAGATAGAACTACTGAAATCATCTAATCCAACTGTGAAGTTTGAACCCCCTGATAGCATCCTATCAAGTGGTTGTGTACCCCTGTTTACACCCACCCCCTATCAGGGAGCCCCTCCTTATAGAAACAGCATATACTGTCTTGGAAAGCTCTGGTCTCTTTCCTTTGCAAACAGGGGCAGGTGTTTGTTACCTTTGAGCCAGATGCCAAATACACAACCTTCTTTGTTTCATCCAAGTGAAGACTCCAGGTCTCAGGGTGCATAGGATCCTTTGAGCCTCCATCCCAAATGGTGAATTTCTCCTGGCCAGTCAGTAGATTCCACAAGCGCAGTGTATGGTCCTTTGAGGCAGAGAGGGCAAGTGTCCCTTTGGCAAACACCTTCACATACCTCACCTCTCCTGCAGTAGACCAGGGTCGGGGAGAATACATTAGCTGAAAACATTTTGACCTTCCAACTACCAAAATGCCTGTTGGTTTGGAAATTCCCTGGCTTACCAAAGAAAAGATGATGGCTTCAAACATAGCCAAATTACAAGTGACGGAATGTGGCAAAACTAAATTAAGAGTTGCAACAATTGATATTACAAGCAATCATACGCCAATAAAATGGGCAATCTGGGAGAAATGGACAAATTCCTAGAAACATATCAACTACTAAAACTGAAACAGGCAGAAACAGAAAATTTGAACAGACCCATAACCAGTAAATAAATTGAATTAGTAATCAAAAATCTCCCAAAAACCAGAGTCCAGGGCCAGATGGCTTTCCAGGGGAATTCTACCACAAATTTAAAGAAGAGTTAACACCTAATCTTTTGAAGTTGTTCCAAAAAATAGAAATGGAAGGAAAACGTCCAAACTCTTCCTATGAAGCCAGCGCTACCTTGATTCCAAAACCAGACAGAGACCCCACTAAAAAGGAAAACTATAGACCAATTTCCCTGATGAACATGGATGTAAAAATCCTCAACAAGATACTAGCCAACCGGATCCAACAATACATTAAAAGAATTATTCACCACGACCAAGTGGGATTTATACCTGGGATGCAAGGCTGGTTCAATATCCGCAAAACAATTAACGTGACTCATCACATCAATAAAAGAAAGGACAAGAACCATATGATCCTCTCAATAGATGCAGAGAAAGCATTTGAGAAAGCAATACAGCATCCTTTCTTGATAAAACCCTCAAGAAAGTAGGAATAGAAGGATCATATCTCAAGATCATAAAAGCCGTATATGAAAGACCCACTGCTAATATCATCCTCAATGGGGAAAAACTGAGAGCTTTCCCCCTAAGGTCAGGAACATGACGGGGATGTCCACTCTCACCACTGCTATCCAACATAGTATTGGAAGTCTTAGCCTCAGCAATCAGACAACACAAAGAAATAAAAGGCATCCAAATCGGCCAGAAGGAGGTCAAACATTCACTCTTTGCAGATGACATGCTACTCTATATGGAAAACCCAAAAGATTCCACCAAAAAACTACTAGAACTGATCCAGGAATACAGCAAAGTCTCTCATCAACCTTCTGTTGAATATTTCCCATGAGTAAGAGTCTTGAACTGGAGGATGTGAGCATTTCTATGGTGGATAAAGGGTATGTGAGACTTTTCTGCACTATTTTAGCAACTTCTTATGAGTCTAGAATTATTTCAAAATAAAATGCTCAGAAAAAAAGGGAAAAAGGAAAAATGTGCATAGAATTTGACTCAGAAATCCCACTTTTAAGAATGTGTCTTACAGAGGGGCGCCTGGGTGGCTCAGTCGGTTGAGCATCTGATTTCGGCTCGGGTCATGATCTCTCGGCTCATGAGTTTGAGACCCTGTCGGGTTCTGTGCTGACAGCTTGGAGACTGGAGCCCGCTTCAGATTCTGTGTCTCCCTCTCTCTCTGCCCCTCCCCTGCTCGTGCTCTGTCTTTCTCTCTCTCTCTCTCTCTCTCTCTCTCAAAAATAAATAAACATTAAAAAATTAAAAAAAAAAGAATGTGTCCTATAGAAATAATAGCATAAGTGTGTGAAGATGTCAGACGTTAATTGCAGCATTGTCTTATAAAAAGAAAATTGCAAACAACCTGTTTATGAAAAGGGAGTTGTTAAAGAATATGGTGTATCTGTATAAAGAATATTACAAAGCCATTAAAAATAATAAGATAGATGTATATATACACCTAACTATAATAAATTATTACAATAGCCAATACTTACTGAGGGCTTTCTATGTGCCAAGCATAGTGGTTAGTAGTTTCCATGCATTAAACTCCTTTAATCTCATAAAAATTGTGCGAGGTACTATTATTATCCCATTGCATAGATATGGAAACTGAGGCACAGCTGAGTACAGTAACTTATCCAAACCACATGATCAATAAGTCGTGGAGCCAGGACTCCAGCCCAGAACTCAAGCTCTCAACCTCTACGTGATATATTCTACAATATATTGTGACAAAAGCAAGTTACAGCCCAGTGTATAAAATAGTACCATCTGCTTTTGACAAAAACTCAAAGTACATGAACTTATACAGAGCTACATCTGCATAAGCCTAGAAAAAAATTAGTTCTGGCATTTAATAAACTCTGACTACCAATCAGTTCCACGGAGACTGAAGGGTGGGAGAGACTAAAGGGAGTTTTATCTCTTATATAAAACTGTATATATTTGTGTATATCCGAACACCTGCTGGGGGAAGGGACTAGAACAACAATATGCTGATAAATGATGAACAACAGACTCTCCAGAGGGGTTGGGGGAAGCCCTGACTTGTGGCATTTTGTCAATTTCCTTGGTGTAACTATTCCCGCCCATGGTTGATTTCAAGCCACTAACATGACTCCTCATTGAATATAAGGTTGTGAAGAGAGTTCGGTAGCAGCCCATTTCCGCCTTGCGGGTATGGTAGCCAAGCACACGGGTAGTAAAGTGCAGTATAATACTTTGAAAGTAATAAGTTTTGGGGCGTCTGGGTGGCTCAGTCGGTTAAAGTTAAGCGTCTGATTCATGGTTTCCGCTCAGGTCATGATCTCGCCGCTCTTGAATTCAAGCCCCAGGTTGGGCTCTGCACTCTCAGCTCGGGATTCTCTCTTCTTGGGATTCTCTCTCTCCACCTCTCTCTCTGCCCCTCCCCTGCTGGAGCTTGTTCACGTTCGCTCTCTCTCTCAAAATAAATAAACACACAAAAAAGAAAGTGATGAGCTTTGGATATGTATTACCTTGTTTTAATGGAATCGACTTAACTGCAAGCTTCTAAAATTTCATATTTGATAATGCCTGTGATCACTGCCTCACCACATTCCTGAGAACTTCACAATCAGGTCTCTTGCAAACACCAGGGCAAACCACGTCCAGCTTGCTGGCATGTGATGGGAAATTTTCACTCTCATTACACATGCTTGTAACGCTTTTCCTTTTGTCAGTAAACTGATTGCCGAGTTTTCCTAATTACAAATAATAAGACTTTGATGACTTAAGAAAATTTTTTGTGTGTGTGTTTACTTATTTTGAGAGAGAAAGAGAGTCAGAGTATGAGTGGGGGAGGGGCAGAGAGAGAGGGAGACACAGAATCGGAAACAGGCTCCAGGCTCTGAACTGTTGGCACAGAGCCCCACGTGCGGCTCGAACTCACGAACCGTGAGATCATGACCTGAGCTGAAGTCGGACACTTAACCGACTGAGCTACCCAGGTGCCCCGCTGATGACTTTTTAAAAAATGAATCAAGGTCCATGGGTAAATGGGTTCAGGTCCTGGACAGATGGCCCACGCACACAAAAATACAAATATCGGATAGACCTATGTGAAACTAGCCATCCTGATGATAATAAAATGAATGGAATCTGACAGATACTCTATCAGTACCCACGTCATTCCCAGCTCTTGGGAAAAAAAAAAAAAAA